GAAATTTAGAATAGTCTGTAATTTTTTCAAGTAATTCTTAACATATTGCATTTGCCTTACAACCTCCTTAAATTAATAAATTAAAATTGGATCAATTAAAAATTAATCGAGATGTTAAGATACGTGTTATTTGTATGTTAAATAAATTCTCTCTTAATCCCCTAATATTGTCTTATATTAAATATTGAGGATTCTTCTTCGCGATAAAAATCATATTAATTGTTTCATCATATTTTACAATTAAAAATAAATTAAATAAGATAGTTACATCTTAATTTTTATTCTAATTGTTAGCAAGATGTACTTATTAATAAATAATTCTCGATTCGTTTCGATTCTATTCTATTAAAATATAAAAAATACGCAAGTGTTTATTATAAAGTATGCGGAAATAAAAAATAAATGTATTAATTTTTAACTTAGAGTTCTCAGATTTTTTCTCGATATGTAGATTTCTCAATATTTATGTAGATTTATTTGACAACATCAAATACTCTACCTGTTGACTAGATCAACATTATTTTTACTTGTCTACTGATTTATTCGATGAATTGTACTGATAAAACTGGCAATTTAATTATTTTCATTACTTCAATTAACATTAATATGCGCGATTCACAGTCACAACGCTTTCACTTTTTCAAATAAACACAGGAAACTGAAACACTTGACTTCCGTTTGACACTTTCGGTTGTGCATGCCGCACGCGGCATTGACGAGAGACAGAGGAGTCACACGCGTTCTCCCTTCCCAGTGGTTCGCGGTCTACTGAGATGAGATCTGAACAGAATGCCAATGGTAATTCCACGTGTACGCTGAGTCACTGATGAAAGAGAAAATCCTCCGTAGATGTGGCAAAAATATTTAAACTTGTATGATTTTGAGCTAAAATATTGATACATAGCTGACACGCAAAACTGACTGCCGTTTACATTAAACGTGATTTTTGTCTTAAATAATACCTTAAGTTTCTTCTTTGTATTCCTCATTTTGAATTTAAAAATTTGGTTCTACAAAAATAGAGAATTCAGATGTTTTAATTATTATACGAAATATTGAAAATAGAAATATTTCTCTAAATATAGAACAACGTTATGTTTTTTGATATAAGGCAGTGTATAATGTATTTTTAAATGGTGTCACAATATTTTTTTGTAAAACAAATAATATATATGTTAAAATAATAAAATAGTTAAAAATGTAAAATAATTAAAAATCAAAATACACACATTTAAAATAAATTCTGGTTATTGTATACATACATATATGTAAATAAATATAATTTCTTTCCCTAATACAATAATAAAATTTATGCAAAGGAATGTGCGTTAACGATAGATTCTTTGATTCTTTTTATTTGTTTCAGGGTCAGAAATGGAACTTAGAAAAATATACTCTTTAGTCCTTGACTTTCTGTCGGAAAACAAATTAGGCAGACGTGCATCTTTGCTGAACGTCTGACGTCTTATAGGAGCCACGTGGCATCTGTAATTGTATAACAAAATCAATCACAAGAATTACATTGATTCTATTAATGGACCTCGATAGCTTCCATAAATTGCATTAGTTACAACTTAATTTTACCAGCAAAGAGCTTCCCGTTTACATCTTTTTCGATAATTTTTTCTTGTTTCGAACTTTTATCTTTGCTCATTTTAATATCTTACCGACACAAAATAATATTCCCTTTATTAAACTGAAAAAATTAAATTAATGAATGATTGAACATTATTTTATCCGGTAAACATTCGAAATACGTTGTAACAGCGTTTCGTTGAGCACTATTTTGAAACATTTGCTCTATTTGCTTATCTAATGGATAATTAATTATTGACGGTAATTTCCTGTCTCGATGCTTGTAATAAATTACATTTCCCAGTAAACGCATCGGACGTGATAAGAATCATCAATCGCCTCTACTACGTTTTCTAAAAAGTATATTATTCGCGAGTAACTAGTTTATTGCATGTATAATATACTATCTATATAATATTTCATGGATTAATTTTTTCAAAAAAAAACGCGCACACATATTATTCGAGTTAATTAATTTGTTATGCTGCAAAGTGCGTCATATAAATAAAATGAAAATTAATTGTTTTTAAACGACGAATGCAATCACTTGATTCAGAAATCGTGAAAAAGATTACTCAGTAACCTCTTTTGAATCTTACATGTACTTTTATATGAAAAGTTTTAAGCCTAATCTATACACTGTTAGAAATTTCTCAATGAATTTTAATTAACATGTAAAGGAAGCATGTGGTTATGCACGAAATTAAATGTAATGAATGATGTAAATAAAAACTAAATTACAATAGTCTTAAATGTGATGAACGTGTATTGAAATTAATGAACACATTATTATAGAAATTAATTTACACGTTAATGAAAAGTACGAGATCTGTAACTGAAAAGTAATTTACGTTAATGACATGTAAGAAACGTAAACGTATTAAACGTTAAGCGTTAAAAGTATTAGGCTTAATTAAAATATTATTAATATTAGTACAAATGTAAAAGTACATTAAATTTCATTAATATGTACATTAATAGTTATTTCAATTACGATTAATTAAATGTCATTTATATCCGTAAATGAAAAGTATATTAAATTTCATTACACTTAATTTTTCAGTTACTGTAAACTTAAATCTCATTAACATGTGCATTAATAGTCCTTTCAGTTACAGAGAAATTAAACTTCATCACCAATGTACATTAAAAGTTAATGAAATTTAAGAACATTTCTAACAGTGTACAGTGTGTTCTTTACTCTTTATTTCTTGCTTTTTACCTCATGTCTTTTTCTTTCTTTGCGACCGTTTTTCTTGATAATCGCGCTTCTTCTCGATATTCTCGCATAAGACACATTTAGTATTGATTTCACGGAACTAAAATTTTGTTTCTGCTATAAAATCTAACAATAAAAATGAATTAATCGCTTACTACAGGAAACGTCTGCCTTTTGATTAAAAAATTAAATTAATAAATAAACACATTTCAGAAATTCATTGTCTTTTTAATGAACTTATGTGGTGCACATGGACATGTATTTTAAATTACATTATACATATATGTATTATGAATTACTTAATGATTACACATACAATAAATATTTTTGAGTCCGAGCGTGGCATGGCAGCGCACTGGTCTATCATGCCAGAGATCCGGGATTTCCGTCTCAGTGACATTTTAATGAAATTTTCTCCACTACTATTACATTATTAGTGACACCACTCGTCGAATTTACTCATTGCACTAGTGACACTAGTAGTATATTTTTATGCGGAACATTTGAATTAATCGTCTATTTCTTTGAAAAATTGCATTATCCAATCTATAGAGAACCTCACAGGGAGAGAGTGGCAAACTCTCTAATCCAACCGAGTCGCGTTTGAGCCATTTTCGATAATGTACTGTCCGTTACCACAAATTGCGTACTACTCCCGCATAAAAATATACTACTAGTGTCATTATCCATACAGCATAGAAGATTGAAGCAATATTGCTGCAATGTTGCAATATTGCAGATGCAATGTAACATTGCAGAGATATTACAGAAATGTAAATTAACAATATGCCTGCAAAATGTCAGTAATATGCCTGTAATATTCCACAAATATTGCAAAACTGTAATTCTTTAATTGTTACAATAATAATATAATATAAAAATATAAGTTTTTACAATATTTATGTAGTACAGCCTTTTAGTTTAACAGCCGTTTTTATGAGTAATTAATATAATCCATTTTATATTTAAATAAAAAATTTATTGATCTATTATTTGACGGCTATTCCATTAGCTAAGTTTTATATTTATTTTAAATATGAAATCAAAAGATTGTATAATATCGAGTTTGGATACAATCAATGCATCATTATCGGATAAGACGATAAGCAATTAAGCCGCTAAAAATGATTTATCGAAATATTAATTATGTGATCGATGATATATTTATTCCTGATGTGAACGCAAGAATAAACCAGCACCCGAAATTTATTGATAAATTGCATACCGTCTTTTTAATCGATGTCAATTGACTGGGAGTGGTTTCGAATTAAAAAGAATCACTGCGATTAACTTAATCCATGATTAACTTACCAAGCGACTGTATTATTATGTTAATGTGGATAATATTTGTAGTTCGTTCGGGGCACACACACATGCTTTATCCTTACGAATAAATTATCATTCAGAATTAATACTATATTTATTGGAATATTTTATGGTTTTATCATAAAAAATTGTTTTTGGAAAGCATATATCATTACAAATGCGATTTGTAGAAAAATTAAAGTTAGTGAGATATATGTATAGAAATAGTTTTCACATTTTAGAGTCTTCGTAAAAAATTTATCCAATACATTACAATATTACTGGAACATTTTGTTGCAATATAATAAAAAACGGATATCTTAACATTGTTGAAATTTGCAACAATGATTTAGCAACGTTTCGCAACCACCATGCAATATTGCAATGTTTCGGTGAAATTATTCTGCAATGTTTCTGCAATCTTTCTGTGCTGTATGGGAATTATTAAATTATGCACAGAGAAGAAAAAATATTTTGAGAATGTTTTTTTTTAATATAAATTTTGTAATAAGATTATGTAGTGTTAAATCAACATAACTTGCTTACACGAAGAAATTTTAAAGCAAGAAAAATATAATGCGTTTCAAATTCAATAATAGCTTTTATGATTTGAGAGGAAACAAATATCAGATAAAGATAACAATATCTGCAATTCGGGAATCAGAATTTTTTTTTTAAATTGAAATGAAATCATTTGTGTTTAATTGTACCCCGTAAGAGCAAGTTGTTTATATTATTTAATTTTAGTATTATTTTTTTATTTTTCCATAAAATTGACATTAGTGTTGCTAGTGTATAGGGGCTTCCCATGATGCAAATAGACTACTTGCATCATGCGAGCTTCCAAGCCAATCCAAGCGTCACGCGAAAAAAGCCATAATCAGCCGTGATGGCCAATGATGGCGCTCTCGCGTTTCTCTTCGACCAGAGTCACTTGTTGTTTGTGTAAAGTGGTGTGTTTCAAAACACGAGGATGCGAACGTTGTCATCCGTCGTCTCGTGTTCGCGGATGTAATGGATGTAACGGGTAATGTCGAGTAAAATGAAACGGCATGTCCCATTCGACGCAATTTTTTAGCGGGCTGCTCATCCTTCTGTTGGCGATCGCGCTGAGCAATGGCACGGACACGTACGAGATCGACTGCAGTAATCTGCGAATGGGGCAGTACATTTGCCCCCATCCTGATTACGATTTCATAGACCTAAAGACGCAGCAACCTCGCGGTTGCACCAAGGAAAACAAGGCCAAAGGTAGGAGCTTGACTTCGAGCACCGGGATCGGCATTTCGGAGTATTCCTAACCTCAATCTCACATACTGACATTTCTGATGTTCTGTTGCTATATTTTCTCAATATTTTAAACATTGTAAAATAAGACAGACCCATATCTTCTTGCATTCTAAGAGAGTTAAGCATAGACAATTGGAGCAATTATCTTCATATTTCTTTATTGTTTATTATACCTTGCGTTGCGCTGAACGTTGCTTTTCAAATTATTATATATAAAATATCGTTTATTTTACTGTATTTAGAAGTTTGATAACATATCTAGAATTACCTGGAATTATAATTTTTACAAAATTAAACTTGGATTACTTATATTTTTTTAGTGCTATGTCTAGCTGCTGATGGCCTTATTTGTACAGAAACAAAGAACAACACTTTCAAGAAGGATATACCTTGTAAATGGACGTAAGTAATTGGGTGACTTATGCCTCTTTTTACTAATATTTATTAACTGTAATCTTGACTCAACTTGCTTTTTATCTTTTTGTAGTTTTAATAATTAGAAAAAGATCGAGAGTAGTAAATTAAACCAAAATTAGAGTTAATTGAAAGAAGTAAACTGAGGATGTAATAAAACTTCTGGAGTTGATAGTGTATTTATTGAACTCATTCAGTTGTAAATTTTTTTATTCAAAATGTCAAGCATTTGTCAATTTTCTTTATGTTACATTCCCAAATTTGAATTATTCTTACTAAAATATACTTAATATTTTCATTCTTTTTTACATATATGTTATTTTGCTTTCTTGAAATTAATTAGTGTCTTTTAATTAACTTAAGTGTGTTTTACAGAATCAGTTAACCATATTACAGATTCTGGCGTCAGCTTCAGATGATTAACTTTTAACTGGAACATATGGTCCTGATAATCTTAGAAATAATTTAAAAAGTAGTATTTTTTGAAACAATTTTTCAATACATAATTTACATTTAGATTTAGAAGCAATAAATGCTATCATAGATATTTTATTTATACTTTTTTCAAATAGTCTTATACCATAGATTAAGAATATGTAATTGAACTTGAAAAATTCATAAAGAAATGAAACTGATAACAAAAAGCTAGTAGGTTCCAGGGACCTATAACTTCTTTTAGTGTAAAATATATTTTTGTTACATTAAATATTTCAAGTTTATATATACAGTTTGTGAACTTTCACGTTTAAATTGTTGTTTTCAGAAATGGATATTCATTTGAGACATCATTACTGCTATCGATATTTCTTGGTATGTTCGGCATGGATCGATTTTACCTTGGATATCCTGCTCTAGGCTTACTCAAGCTGAGCACGTTGGGATTTCTTTTTCTTGGTCAGTTTGCCGATGTGATTCTGATAGCTACGCAAATCGTAGGACCGGCGGACGGTTCACACTATGTAATGCCATATTACGGTGCCGGAATTAACATCATAAGGAGCAACAATTTTACATACAGAGTACCACAATATGACTGCTGAGAGAAAATAGCATATTCAAAGCAAATTGTAAATGAGGACTTTTCTATACACACACACACACACGTGTTTGTGTGTGTGTATAATTGTATACTAACTTCTGCTTTCGTCACAAGCAACAGTTGCATTCGAAAATGTCGCTCGGATGTCTCCAATGCTTCGAATTCATCATCTGTCCTTGTTTAACATTTAATGTTTAAAAAAAATATAATATATATATATAATTATATATATATATATATATATAAAATACATATATATAAAATCAAAGACAGATGATGAATCCGAAGCATCGGAGGCATCCGAGCGACGTTTCCGAACGCAGCCAACGATGTACAAATCCTAGAATGAAATCCTATTTCATATATCTATATATATATTTCAATATAACTTATTTTCTGTATTCTATTCTATAAGATGAACTGTGAACGTTAACTTGTAGATATTTATCTTTCAACGAAAAATATTGTATATATAAAGATTTACTACTGATTTACTTATTGCCAGCTGATTAATTAATAAATTGTTGTTTTTATTTCTAAAGTTCTCTGTTATTTATTATGCTCTTCAGTTACGATCAGGGTTTTTCAGAACGCAAATATCGTGATAATTATACTCCCGAATTCCGTAATAATGACTCAATCGGCCTTGAACGATTTATCGCGAAACTGTAAGCTATACCTCTTAATGTCGATGCACAGACGTAATTTGATTCGTGCGATTTCGCATGTATTTCCAATCTCGTTCCTCCGATATAAATGTGAAAATAAGAAGCGTTTATTATTATTACTTCCGTTAATCCTTATTTTCGTGCACAGAACTCGGTAACGACGTTTCGCGCACGAACATCTTGCGTTCTCGGAAATCCTAAGACTGCCGACCGAAGATGCATCACGTTGCAATTTCGCATTATGTACATGTTAATCGGCACGTTTTCGATATGAAATGTATAAATCCACATACTTCTCTTCGTGATGAGTTCTTTAAAGTTATTGTTTCATAAGAGTTGAAAAGACAGACGCGATTTATTAAATCGGGAAGACACATTATTGAGAGACGAGCCGCTTCTCGCATCATGACTTCAACTAAGATTCTTCTACTTTTACCACTCGGAATTGTACTATTAACTGCGACAATATATCATTCAAACAATTCTGGGGTAAGCAATTTGATTATTACTTGATGCATATCTATAGACCTAATTTTTAAAAATAGGATAAAGCTAGATTACATTACGAGAAAAACTTGCAAATCTAAGAATCAATGAAATATCGAAGTATATTTTAAGTGAAATAATAAATTACAAATATACCAAATAGCAAAATGTCTGCAGTCTTCTAACAGACTGTCAGTAGGTTCAAGCAGAAAATGACGGCAGTCCGCCACCAACTGCATTCGCATTAGACTTGTATTCTGTTAACATCAACTGTCGATATAATGTGAAGGCAAATTGTTGGCAGAAACTTAGCAGATCCTGCCTTATCTGATGCAGTGATTCTGTTACGTTTTTCTAGCAGTCAATAGTATTATGTACATCTAATTCTGTTGTTATTTTATTAGCATAGTGTATAGCAGACATTTAAAAAATCTGTTTTTTACAGACTTGGCTATCTGAGTACATATGTAGTATTTTTTGCTTTATATATACATATTTTTTTTTGTAATAAGATGTGAAGTTTATCAAATATTATACCTGCTCTTTACTATTAACTTTTATATCGAGGAAATTACTTTTGCAGCAATACACTGACAATACAGCTGTGGAACCGCACAAAATCAGCCGACGGCGAGCAATTAAGCCCGCCACTATACATTATTGCAAGTTCAATCAGTACTATGATCAGGAGGAAGGCCGTTGTTTAGGTGTGCCAGGAGGCGGCAAAGTGCTTCACATTGAAAACAGACAATCATGTGGCATCAATGTCTTGAAGCCGCATTGTAAAAGCTCTCTCTATTATCACATTTGCAAACGCGACAAGTCGATCCTGGCGCAGTGTGCAAACAGGCAGATCTTCGACAATCGTTTGCAGCGATGCGTTTACTACGATTCAAGTAAATTAACTCCCAGTATTATTTCATCAGACGACTACACATACGATCACGTTAGAATGCCACGTTGCACGAGATATGGTCGATTTCCCGTGCCTGGCCATTGTTCCATGTTTTACACATGCGATACGAACGGACATCGACTTTATCAGAGTGTCTTCAAGTGCCCACAAAATACGGGATATCAAGTGGACAGAGGAGTTTGCAATATTGTGGCAGATTGTGTGAATGACAATTCGGTGGATACTACAGTTTGTGTTCCAGATGCCCCGGGCGAAGATGTGGAAATTTCACGTCTCGATGAAGCTGTAGACGGAAACGTGGAAGAAATTTCAGAAATACTTGAAGAAAGTAAAGCTAGCACAGACGATCCTATTGTAGAAAAAAAGGAAAATGTAAATTTCAAGAATTTCGATGGTATTATCATTACTACCCCTGTAAGTATAATAGGACCACTGTCAGAGGATAATGATAACGATACGGAAGTGTCAAGTAACAACGCGAGTTCGTTAAATCCAATCAAAGAAGATTTAATTTCTGAAGGCAGCGACGAAAAGATAATGTACAGTCAAACTCCGAATCAGCTTAAAACTATGCAAAAAACATCTGACGAAGGACAGAACGAAGAGGACGGATCATCATTATTAAATTTACGAATTACATCGCCATTAACGACAGAACTCGATGACACATCGCATTCGATTAAGGAACAATATAGAAACAACGAAGACAGCACAGTGACGCCATCGAATTTTAATAATGATTCAGTTGATCTATACTCGGCACCAACAGTAAGTGATGCACAAGAATCTACCCCAATCAGCGACGTTTCACCGAATATAAATGAAAAAATGCAAGATGCGGCTACAGAGCAATATAAAAGTAACGAAGACAGCAGAGTGTCGCCATCAAATTTGAATTCTGATTCTGTTGATCTGTACTCAGCACCAACAATGAGTAATGTACCAGAAACTTCTCTGATCAGCGACGTGTCACCGAATGTAGATGAAAACATGCAAGATGTAATTACGGAACAATATAAAAATAATGAAGACAGCACATTGACGCCATCGAATTTCAATACTGATTCGGTTGATCAATATTCGGCACCAACAATAAGTAATGTACAAGAATCTACCCCAATCAGCAACGTTTTACCGAATATAAATGAAAAAATGCAAGATGCGGCTACAGAGCAATATAAAAGTAACGAAGACAGCATAGTGCCGCCATCAAATTTGAATTCTGATTCTGTTGATCTGTACTCAGCACCAACAATGAGTAATATACCAGAAACTTCTCTGATCAGTGACGTGTCACCGAATGTAGATGAAAACATGCAAGATATAATTACGGAACAATATAAAAATAATGAAGACAGCACATTGACGCCATCGAATTTCAATACTGATTCGGTTGATCAATATTCGGCACCAACAATAAGTAATGTACAAGAATCTACCCCAATCAGCAACGTTTTACCGAATATAAATGAAAAAATGCAAGATGCGGCTACAGAGCAATATAAAAGTAACGAAGACAGCATAGTGCCGCCATCGAATTTTAATTCCGATTCTGTTGATCTGTACTCAGCACCAACAATGAGTAATGTACCAGAAACTTCTCCAATCAGTGACGTGGATGAGAAAATGCAAGATGCAATTACGGAACAATATAAAAACAATGAAGACAGGATAGTACCGTCGTCGAATTTGAATTCTGATTCTGTTAATCTGTACTCAGCACCAACAATGAGTAATGTACCAGAATCCTCTCCAATCAGCGATGTGTCGCCGAATGTAGATGACAAAATGCAAGATGCGATTACGGAACAACATAGGAACGATGAAGACAGCACAATGACACCATTGAATTTTAATACAGATTCGGTTGATTCGGCATCAACAATAAATAATGTACCAGAATCCTTTCCAATCAGTGATGTGTCGCCGAATGTAGATGAGAAAATGCAAGATGCGATTACGGAACAAAATAGAAACAACGAAGACAGCACAATGACGCCGTCAAATTTTAATACAGATTCGGTTGATCAGTACACGCCACCAATAGTAAGTAATGTAGCAGAATCTTCTCCAATTAGCGACACGCCATCAAAGATAGATGAGAGAATGCAAGATGAAGCTACAGAACAATACAGAAACAACGAAGATAGTATAGTGACCCCATCGAATTTTTATACAGATTCGATTGATAAGTACCCTGCACCAATAATAAGTAATGTACCAGAATCTTCTCCAATAAGTGACGTGTCACCGAATATAGATGGAAAAATGCAGGATGCAATTACAGAAGAATATAGAGACAATGAAGACAGCATAGTGACGCCATCGACTTTGAATACAGATCAGTACCCGGCACCAACAATAAGTAATATATCAGAATCCTCTCTAATCAGTGATGTGTCACCAAATCTAGATGAAAAAATGGAAGATGCGATTACGGAAGAATATAGAAATAACGAAGACAGTATAGTAACGCCATCAAATTTGAATATAGATACGGTTGATCAGTACCCGGCACCAACAGTAAGTAATATAGCAGAATCTTCTCCAGTTAGCAGTACGTCATCGAAGATAAATGAGGAAACGCAAGATGCAGATACAGAACAATCTAGAAACAATGAAGACAGCACACTAATGCCATCGAATTGGAATTCTGATTTGGTTGATCCGTACTTGGCACCAAGAATAAATAATATATCAGAATCCTCTCCAATCAGTGATGTGTCACCAAATCTAGATGAAAAAATGGAAGATGCGATTACAGAAGAATATAGAAACAACGAAGACAGTATAGTGACACCATTAAATTTTAATACAGATTCGATTGATAAGTACCCTGTACCAACAATAAGTAATGGGGCAGAATCTTCTCCAATTAGCAGCATGTCATCGAAGATAGATGAGGAAATGCAAGATGTAGCTACGGAACAGGATAGAAATAACAAAGACAGCACATCAAATTTCAATACCGGTTCAATCACAGATAATCCAAGGTATGATGATTCTGATATATTATCTACTCCGTCGATTTTGCCGCCACAAGCAGCTATTGATCAAATTGCCACGGAAGGATTATCCGAAGTTACTCCGTCAATAGACAGTAAAATTGCAGATGCTAGTTCATTTGCACCAGATGAAGTCGAAAGTTTTTCTGCTCGATATTTACCCGACAATACTGATGAATTATATTTAACACCAACGACGGGATCCACTTTTTCGAAAGAAGTAACCGCACCGGATGACATTGCAACTACAATTCATCCCATACAAGAGCCACCTATTTTAGACAGATCTGGTAACGCAAAGTAGTAAGGATAGCACGGAAACATCTGCTTTAGTAACTGAATAAAATGCTCTAATTATAAACATATATATACATCTTAAATAAATTCATAAATTGTATATAATTTTTTATTTAGACTATATAGATATTGTCATTTTTTTGTTAAAAGGTGTATATATAATGCGAATATGTAGATAAAATAATTTATTGTATGTTTGTAATTTGATTTCCGTTTCTGAGGTAGTCGCGAGCAATTTACATAATACATAAATCCATTTTTCTATATACATCGAGGTATAAAGAAAAAATTATTTTATAAAACGGGAAAATAGTAATAAATACCCTCTTATTATTTTACTTACATTAATCGTTTGTACAATATAATTTGTTCTATGTCTTATTACTATTACATGTTTTCTTTTTCCTGCTCGTTAACGAGCATGTAATATACTCCTTTTCGTTTAATCAATTCCGAATGCTTGCCCATCTAAAAAACATTCATTGTTTATGAATTATATATATTTATATAATAAAAACATGATGTTAATTTTATCGATTAAATATAATACCTCCACAATGACACCACGTTGTAACACGACAATTACATCGGCTCCCTTAATGGTACTCAATCTATGAGCAATGACAAGAACTGTTCTACCTTTTGTAATATTTTCAATCGCTTTTTGAACGACTCTCTCGCTTTCATAGTCCAATGCACTAAAAACACAGACAAGTAGATAAACACCAAGATAAATTTCATATAATCTTGCTATTCCTACCTTGTTGCTTCATCCAGAATTAAAACAGATGGTTGTTTTAATAAGGCTCTGGCGATAGCAACTCGTTGCTTTTGTCCACCAGAGAGTTGTGTGCCTCTTTCGCCAACCTCAGTCGCGTAGCTGTCTGGAAATTTCGTTATAAATTCGTGCGCATTCGCTTCTTTAGCTGCCTCGATGACCTAAATTGATCGAATTTAGGTCTGTTTTTTATTGCCGCACTTTCTGAACTAGTACACACAGTGCAATAAGTTGAAGTGAAACAAATATACGTTTGTTTTACTTTAACTTATTGCACTGGTTCAGAGTGCAGCAATAAAAAACAGACCTTATGGAAAATATTAAGTATATATCAGTACTTATATTAATTTAAATTCTTTTTTTTACCTCTTCGTCTGTTGCGTCTTGTCTCCCATACCTAATGTTTTCCATAATGCTGGTAGCAAATAAAGTAGGCTCTTGATTGATATAGCCTAAAACATTGCCTCTGAGATAACTTGAATTAAGGGATTTGATATCTTTACCATCAATAGTAATAGAGCCTTCATCAACATCATAAAATCTGTACAATTTTAGGTATAAATTTTTAAACTTCAAATAAAATACACGTTATTGTTGTAAAATCATACCTTTCTAATAATACAGCTACTGTTGATTTCCCGTTACCACTAGTACCAACAATAGCCACAGTTTTCCCAGCGGGAATGTGTAAGTTAAAATTTTTCAAAATAACGTGATCAGGTCTAGTGGGATAGCTGAAATTTACATCTTTGAAAACTATATTCCCTGCGAGAGATTTATCCGCGATTATGTCACCACCGATCATCATTGATGAAGGCGGCATATCTAAGTACTAAAAAAAAAAAAGATATAATTATAGTTTTTAATTCAGGAAAAGTTACTATAAAATTGTATAATCCAAATACATAATAAATTACCTGAAAAATCCTGGCCCCAGCACTCTGTCCTCTAACGAAGGTTCCGAAAAGCACTGATAACTGGCCTAAAGACTTTTGTATGGTTTGTGTAGCCATTAAAAATGCCATAAGATTTCCTGGGGACAATTGTCCTGTAGAGAGTAACTGCCCACCAAAGTACAGCGTGGAAAGTAAAATGCCGTTAAGCAATAAATTCGTTCCTGCTTGAAAGAAGCTTATACCAAAACCTAATCGTTCGTATAGATCAGACGAACGTTCAATCTCTTTGTAAAACATTTCCGCTTCTTTCTTCTCCGCGGCGAAGGCTCTCACCTGATAAAAAAAAAAGGAAGTGCAGTGTATTAATATTGTTTCGCATCTTTTTCAGTTTATTATTTTAAAAATACCGTTCGGATGTTTTGTATTGCTTCCTCGCAGACGGCTGTAGACTTTGCAACTTGATTTTGCGCTTCAATCGACAGCTTGCGCAAACTTCTTCCCAGCAGAGTACCGATAAAAATTATTGGGGGCAAACTGAATACCACAAGAGTGGTCAATTGCGGTGATATCACTATTACAGAGACGATACAACCAATAATTTGTGTGAAGCTTCTCAAACCTTGAGAAATGCAGATTTTAAATGAACTTTTAAAATCTTGAATATCACTGGTCAATCGACTTACTATTTCACCAGAACGCGTTTTGTCAAAAAACGCTATGTCTTGCATAATAATGGACTTGAACAAATCCTGACGTAAGCTCACTGCAACTCTTTCACCAACATGTGACAGAGTATAAATATATGCAAAAGTAAAAAATGCCTTGAAAGGTAAAAATCAGATATTTAGAGACAAGTATGTGGTATTTCATAAAGAGAGATATCGAAAAAAGTATTGTAATTATCTTACATACTTGAGCAATGTACATGCGTGCCAAAATAAAAGCTGGTTGAGTAAGCTGGAAAATAACTTGTTTTGCAGAATCATTTTTATTCTGACATATTTCCGTTAGTACATTTATGACACTTCCAACGCATTGCGGTATTTGTATATTTAACAATGCAACTATTAATGCACTCTAGAAATATGGAGATTGTCAGTACAATATTTGCAATAATATAAGATTTATCAATTATTTTTACATGTCTATAAATACTTACTGATAGTGCTAGTAATAAATACCAGATATGTGGATATAAATACTTGAAAAATTTTGTCCATTCAAAGATCAAGTCAGGGTTATCCGGATTGACTGGACTTATGTCATTTATTCTTTTGGCTTCTTTACAGAGTATAATTTGATTATGTGATTTTAAAATACAAGCAACCGCTACACCAAGTCCACTGAAACCAAATTTCTGAATGTACGAGAAAAGCTTTGACTCATTCACATTTTCTTTGGCACATCTTTGAGTAATTTTACTAAATTCACGCTTTGCTGTCCCCCATAAATTCTGGCTTCTTCCTTGCAAGAAACACTTCTGCAAGGAATACCTGAAATTAATTAAATAAAAATTGATTTATCATCAAAAGAACACGTTTATCATTGTCTTAAATCATTCCAATCCTAAATATAGGATTTTTATCATGTGCATACATTTTTATACTCATGTGTTCTCTTTAGAGATTTATATGCGGTATAATTACACACAGAGACAAAAGTAATTCATATTATCTTGAAATAATAGAGCCGTTATTATGATAAATGAATATATAATGCAAAATGTATAACATTCATTATTTTTATATGTATCATGTTTATATATTTTTATACCGATATTTTTTCTTTAAAGATTTATGCAATATAGCTATAGACACAATTAGAGACAAAAGTAATTCATAATTACCTTGGAATAATAGAGCCATTATTATAAGTGAAAAACGCAGCACGTAATACAGACATTCTTGTAATATATTAATATTATAATTAGTGATATTGAACTAACGTCTATTAATTATGCCGGCATATATCTTTCGGCGTGTATATTTCGTTCATTAAATTCATGAAAACACATTACTATTAATGATTCTTATATAGATATGATGATGGAATTTTTTTTCCACTCAACTGCTGAAAAGGTTAAGCTAATAATATCGCAACCAAGGGCGCCGCCATGTTTCAACTTATCCATCGCGTGTTCCATGATCTTCTCACAGATGGCTCTTAATGTATTATCTAGCCAGTTTGTTTTCGTGCTGTTTCGCGCTACGTGTAGGCCGCGTTGGGGGAAGTGTTATTAGCGCTATTTGTGTCATAAATGTCATAATTCTATCTTCATCGTCCATTAGACGTGAGACAAGGATATTATGACACAAATGGCGCTGATAGCGCAAATCCCGAACGGAGTCATACTCGTAGCTCGTTTCGAAATGCGCGTGCGTGTTTTGAAGTTCGTAACTTATTCGCGTAGAAGTGCCTATAAGTGAGTTGAAGTAACGAATTTATCCTTGAAATTTTGTCCTTGACAGCATACGATGAGAAATCCCGGAGAAAGCGACTCCCCAAGGCTCGGCTGTGACAATTGCGCGGTCTGCAGGAAACAAGGACAAATCTGGTAAGCTACTTTGAATCTTGCGGTTACTTTGGGTCTTGCAAAATAGGATTCTGTTGCTTGTGGAAAAATACGCGCTATTGAGACACGAGAGATACAGAGAAAATAAAAGGCAATTACATGCAACGAATTTCATGCTGAATTTTTGTCAAGATTATTATATCAAATCGCTAGGTACTCCTGTTTCATATATATATATATATAAATTTGTTAATTTTTTCTCTGTCCGAGATCTCGGCCCGATTTCTAGCATCGTGGACACAAGGCTTAACAGCTGATCGCTACAAACAGCAATTATACCGATTGAGTAACGAATTGATGCAAAAAAGATCGTCCGTAGCTAACAATCGACGCAGAGTCATTTGGTTGGATGATAACGCTCGACCGCATGTCGGGAAAAGCGTGAAGCAGACATTTCGAGAGCTTGAATGGGAAGTTCTGCCGCACCGAGCGTACTCTCCAGACTTGGCACCGTCGGATTACCATCTCTATCGTCCTACTCACAGTCAGACAAGATGCGTGCCCAAGGCCGATCGCACCAACATTACTTAGACTTTGAGAGTTTTGAGAGAAATGAGAATTTTAAGCCTGGTTTAAAGTCAAAGTAACGTTGGTGCAATCAGGTCTAAAAAATGTCTTTTGAAATATACATATTTAAAGCCCGATTGCACCAACGTTATTTTGATTTTAACCCCGGATCTACAATAGAGTTCTAAGCCCTAAGCCATAACAAATGGACGAATCGTAGTCGATTATTCTTTTCGAATTCGACTGTAATTGGTCAATTTCTT